GATACTTTTCATTTTCTGGGCTAATATTAACATACTGAAGTCTGAGTAGTACATTTTTTCCATTGCTAACAACGATCAGGTCTGGATACAGGCTGCTTCTACTTAAGCAGTGTTAATTCTACATAATCTCCTTATATATATTCCTCCTATGAACAAAATGTGCAGTTCACTGGAGAAGAATTTAAATGATTTTATTTATTGTTTTGTTGTTGGCTAGATTTTGCATGAGTCTATGCAAAAGTAAGCACATAGTGTCCCTTGAAATGAAGAACTGGACTAGGAAGCCTTTCCTGGGAATATGGAGGTTTTTACTCTATTGTAATTGTTGGACTTTTTTCTTCACAGAATGAAAACTTTGCAGTGGAGTCAGGGAAACAGCCCATCACCTTTGAAAATCCAATGTATGTGACCAGAGATAGTGGAGCCAGCGGAGCAAGTGCTGCTACAGTGGTTCATTCAACACATGTGAGAGAAATTTGGACTTTTTTACTTTTTCTTATGACCTTAGGACCTTTCTTTGCATTTCATTTTCCCTCTTCTCTTACAGGTAACAGCAGCTAGTAGTGAGGAAAAAGAAAATTTTGAAAACCCTGTTTATGCCTCTGTAATATCTGCTAGTCCAAATGAACCTCCTCAGAGTTCGGATGTACCTCAGGTAGTATGATAAAACGTACAAACATTTCAGAAAAGTGTTATTTGTTATGTTGGTCTATGTTGTCTATGTTGGTCTTTGGCTTGTTTGGAGGATTGCATTTTCACATGCACAGCCTACCATAAAGGACCTCTTACAAGTTCTGAAATGTGAGCTCTCATCAACATGTTACTTTACATTTATCCCCCTCTAATTTCTCTTGTTGTTTTCAGGACTTTTTTTTTTTTGGCCTAGCCTTGTGGTATTATATGAGGTGAAAGAAATGTAACTGGATGTCTAGCAGAGAGGAAAATTGTGTCCTGTGCTTAGCCCATCTATTGTTGCCCTGGACACGTTATACGACCATTTTCTTTCCCTTCCTACACTCTGCCTCACTTAAAATAGTCTAAATGAAAGATCTTTTGAATGACAGGATGCAGTATTTGAATAAGAAATCTGAAACAGCTACCATACTTCAACTTAGTTTATTGTGACAATAAAAAAATAATTTATTTTCTGCTTTATCAGAATTTTCTTTTGAATAACAAAGTTAGGTTGCTTGACTGGTGAAAGGGTAAAAGATGTATGAAGAATTATGGTATAAATTGTAATTTCAAATGTGATTTGTATGTTTTCTTATGCTTTTCATGATGTCTCCAAAGCAGTCTATATATTGATAACACTCATACTCCTCTCTGCAAAAAACAATCTAGATAATTCACTTTTTTCTTGTGCATGTTGCTTTTCAGTTTAAAGACTGCTGGAGTTCCTAAAATTTCAGCAAGCTTTGAAGTATTTAAATGAACTAAATTAATTAGTCGTACATAATGGCAATATGGAAACATCTATCAGAAATTGCCAAGTTAGCATTCAACTCAAGTGAAATTGATAACACTTCCAACAACAGGGCTGTTGTTTTGGAGATAAATACTGAGAAAAATGTGTAAAGTTCTAATAATTTTTATATTTCAGGAATCAAAATGGAGTTTCTTCAAGAAAAAAATGAAACAAAGCACTAATTTTGAAAACCCAATATATGCAGAGGTATTGCTTCATATTGTATCCTACCCTTTCTCAGCCTGTCCTGTGTAGACAGTGTACTTTGTCTGGACTTTGTTCTTGCTTCTCAAGGATAGAGACTGTGGGTAGATTCTACTGCTAAGCCCTGCTCAGGGTGGGTCGGAGATAATTCTGAGTAAAGTTGCGAAGTCCCAGGTAGTATGGAGCTCTGAAGAGGTGCCCACCTCAGCTTTTGCAGCCCAAGAACTGTGCCCCGCTTCTGCTCTGGGCTCTCAGGTGTTGCTTTCAGCTGGCTGCTGCAATCTGGGACAGCTCAGGGTCCCAGGGCAAATGAGAGGCTCCTGTGCTGCAGCTGAGAGTAAAGTGTCTTAATGGTGCAGCATCGTAGTCATTACTTCAGCACTGCACAAGAATTTAGCAGCTTAATGCTTTATATAGCCTTGTTTTATACCAGCCCTGTTTTTTTCATCCAGCCAAGTTCTTGAGTTGGCTCTTTTAAGACAGTATGCCAGGTGGTGACATATGTCATGGAAGAATTCTCCCATGGCTGGATATGAAGCTTCTGGGTTATGAGTTCTTTTGCTCTTACTTGAAAAAGATTGGATTAATTGGCTCATCTTAAAAAATTTCCCAAGGGCCTAATAACTTAGGAGGCCTGTTTCCACAATCGTGTGGCTACTAGTAGCTGAGGTTTCTATTGCTTGAGCAAGGTGAGAGACAGAGTGAGAGTTCAGTCAGCTGGGGGTTCATTTGCCCAATATAACGGGCTTAACTGCTAATAAACCAAAGTGGTACCACTATAATCCATACTCAGAACTTCATATTTCTCAATACAAGTATATTCCTGACATTAAGCATTGAAATGAAAGTCAGAGTAAGTTTGCAGTAATGTATTTTTCTCAGCTGTACTGAGCTGGAATTATTATTTAAGTTTTATGATGGGTATTGATTTACAGAAATAATATATACATTACACTTCAGCAAAATATTTGGATATTTATTCAGCACTTCTAGAAGTTAAGGCTGGGTATATTGAACATTAGAAGGTAAATTTTAATTTTATGATTATCATTTCAGATGGAAAAGGAACAGCAACAGGACACAGAAAGTGTTCCTACTCCTTCTCCCTCACTGCCTCCTAAGATTACTCTGAAGAGAGACCAACCATTAGCTTACACAGCAACAGAGGATACATTTAAAGACACCGCCAATCTTGTTAAAGAGGACTCTGTTGTATAACTAGGTAACTGATTTAGGGAAAAATTAGACACATCCATTTGCACATATATTTTTTTATAACAGAAGAAGGTTCACATTCAAATGCTTTATAAAAATATATACATCTTTCAGCCAGTGGCTGGAGATGTATGTTGAAACTCTGCCTTGTTTTTTTTCTTTTTGTTTGTTTTTGTCTTTTTGACAAATGCCAACTGCTATTTTTATGAACAATTATCATGATATACTATATGTATATCTTTGCACTGAAGCTGTCTGAAAGTAATGTTATATATTGTACATGTGTAAATTTTTGAAAGATTATCTTGTTTGTTGATGCTAGTAGAAAACTATGGAATTGGTTGCATCTTTAGGGATCAATTCATTATATAAATGCTTAAACTAAAAAAAAACAAGGCAAATATAGGAACTTTACTGATTTACAGGATCTTTAGATATGTAATATTTGAAGCAGCACCTTCAAACATTTGTTCTGGTGCATCTTTACCGCCTGTTTTATGTATTACTGTATGCAAAAATGGGTGTGTCTGTTTATCTTGTGTTAAACAGAAGATGGAAAAGTCCTAGTTCTGCTGAATAGTTACCTGTGCAAAACACTGTTCTTACAATGTTTTATCTGAGATAGAATCATTTCCTCTCAATTTGTAAGACACCTATTTTTCCTCTATATCTCAATTAAAACACTCCATTAATAGTGTTCTTAAAAAGATCTGATATATTTAGATTTTAGTGCCATGAGTAATTTCATACTTAATTTAATGAGATTTTTCTCTTGCTCATTAATGAGATAGCTCTGTTCTTGGCTGGAGTCTCTGGAAGTCATTTGTACTGTTAAATGAAGTAGCTAAATTTCTAAAACATCTTATTTTCAAACAGCCAAATACAGAAGATACTGGTTCATTTAAGAAGTAATTCAACCTTTTTAATGTGAAAATTTAATTTTATTGACTATTTATTTCCTGAGGTGGACATTAATAGAAAGGGAAAGTTTCTACTACTACAATCCTTGTAGTTAACTGGTTATTTCCATGACCTTTTATCAGAATGTACTGTACATCTTATTAGCTTTTCTGTTAATGTGACAAGGTAGTTACCACAGCATGAACCACTGGAGGAGAGTGTGAGTACCACTGCAGGCTGAATGTTATTCAGCATTCCTGGCTAGCTACTCATGTTTTAAAGATTTCTGAATTTATAATAATTGAGACTTCTGCTACTTGATTGTTTTATACCTGACTTCTCAAAGTATGTATTATTTCTATTAGAATATTTGTAATTATGTTGTAATGTACTTTGATTAGAAGACACAACTGGAAAATGATGCTGCTGAATAAATCTAATAAAGGTATTATTTTATCATATGCTCATTCCATAACTTTTTGGTTCAAGCCTGTATGCACTTCTGAGTGGAGACTGCAGTGCGCTTAGAGGAAGAAACAGTGCTTTATCTAAAGTAAAATAAGAATAGTGTTTACTACTTCACACAGCGTGGAAAGTGATTGATGTAATGCAATTGAAGTAACCACTGTAAGCGTGAACGCTTTGAAGCAAGAAGCTGTTATTAGTGATTATAAAAGACTTTGAATATTGAGATAGTACAGGCATAATTGATAAAATTCTTAGTCTGATAAGCTTTTGTCTCTCAGTACTTTAATGTAGAAAATTCTTTAGAACCTGGGACACAACCAACATCTCTGCAAGGCTGTGAGGAATTAGTTCTTTTAAAAACAGGATGCTAGTCTTAAGGACTAAGTTCACAATCCTTTCACCATTTTAAGGAGAAAAGGCAGAGGGCTAACATTTCGGTAAGACTTGGATCCAGTTATGCACCACAAAAAGAGACATCAATTTTGTAAACAGTCTTTCAAACTGATTATTTGCAACCCTGTTTTGCTGCAAGTTACTTAAATGTTTCAGCTATATATCAGAGAGATTTTTCTGTTCCCCAAAAGAATTTTAATTTTTCAAATGTAAAAGAAAACTGTCCTGCGGTATGGCATGGTTAGGTAGTATGTAGATTTGGTTATGCGAAGCATACCTGATGGTAAAGGATCCCTGAGATTTCACTGGGCCTTCTCCTCTCAGCTGTATCACAGTGTACCCTTCTCAATATCTAAAACTTAAGTTTTGCTCTTCTGTTGAACAGAAGCTTTAGTTTTTCTCCATAACTTGATTCCTCAGTTCTCATCTCCTTATGAGGCCAGTTGCTGTTGTCATCCTGAATTTTGGACTCTGTAATGTTTGAAAGAAGGCCCATTTTTAGAGATTTTAGCACCATTTTGTTCTCAGTCACAATAGGGCTGTTAAAGAAAGTTATTTTCATGAGCATTCTCTCTACATCAGTCAGACGAGGGAGCACTATAACTGTGCAGATATTTATGATGAAATGAAGTAGATCAAATATCTTTTTTTAAAACCCATTTAGCATAGATATATGTTTTTATGATATATTAACATAGATAAGTGAAATACTTAAATTTTATTTTGCCAATTTTATATTACCTCCCTTTTTTGCAAATGTGCATACACAGTGAAGAAACTCCTTTTCTTTCATTTGGAGTTGTGACCTGTGTGTGGTATTTTTGTAAGCTTAATTGAATTACACATTAATGATTAATCATGAGCACAAATCTATGGCAAATAAAACCTTTACCCCTTCAATTTTCATATCTCTAGGAATACAGGTATGTCAGCCTCTGGTCAGCCACTTAGCAGATAAGTATAAAGAGAGTACAAGAGGCACAATAACCTCAGCTGGTGTTTTACTGTTCTGAACGCAGTTTGTACTGTCAAACTAATTGGCAGTAAAATACACTAAATGACCTGTTTCATCTAATGGATAAAGTGATTTTGCTTATAACTTGCAAAGCACATTGAAGACAAAAGAAATATTAGAAATAGTATTTTTCAAACTATGCTAGTGTTAGGAAAAAGTTTATATATAAATACTGCTTTGTTTGCATATTAATAGAGTACAGTTTAGTTTTTAATTTTTGCTGAAATTGCCTGTCTTTAAAATAGCTTGTGTCTCATGTTTGTACAGTTGAAGAGTCAGCTGATTAGACGTGGTCAAATACTGCAAAAGTAGCTTTCTGAATATATTGCCAGAGCTGGGCTTTGTTGTTGTTTGGTGTCTTATGTTCAGAAGCTTGTAAAGCTTAACAGCTCCTTGATATAACAGAATGAACAAACCTCATGAAATAGGTGAATTCACCTGAGTAAATATATCCGGTAGCGAACATGTATAAGATAGTTGAAAACTTAATGAAAGAGCACTGCTGTATTTTGAACTGCCTAAAAGCCACTTGTTGATGAAGTCTACTTGAAAAACTGTTGGATTTTTTTCTTTTACATAAGAAAAATCACTAAGTGGTTTGAATTGGTTGAATAGCACTAACCAGCTTAGTAGGTGAATGTCGTATGAATGTATACATTTACACAGATTGATTATCACTTGAGAGAATGAAAAAAGACCTTGAAAAGACCTGGTGGATTTACAATTCTGTCTCCGACTCAGAAAGCCCAGAGAAAAAAAGAAAGAATTAAAAGTGTTTTCTGAAGGAATTTAAGCAGTCTAGTTAGTGGTAAAGAAAGCAGCATCTGGTTGTGGGAGAAACAACAAATATTTTTGTAAAGATGAAACTGTTTAATACTAAATATTAATTAGAATTCTAGGAATTGATCTGCCACTAGCTGCTGGAGTTGGAAAAAACATACACAGCAGTGTGTCAGATAAACAGGTTGGTGCATAGGAGAGAAAAAGCCAGAAGAACTTTGCATCCCATCCAACTCCGTATCGTGCCCTGGGGTACTTTGCTATCAGGGCATGTTCCATGCATTTCACGACCTTAGAAAGATCAGAGTCACACAGTCTTCTCACTGATAATCTTTGAGCTTTTATATCTGCAAAGAAGAAAATAAATCTGAAAACATTTATGTAACATTCTCTGATAGAAGATTTCTTTATATTCAAAGGTATGGCTGCAGCTTCTGTAGATGTATTCAGGCTTGCTCTAAACTCCTGGATCAAGTACTGAGAGCAGTGTAGCTACAGCAGAGCAGAGACCAGCAAGGGCTGCAGAACAGTCAAGAACCAGGTAAACACAAACTTCCCTAGTGCATATCGTAGGCTAGATGTTGCCTGCTGTAGGTGTAACAGAGCATAGCACAGCTTTTCAGAAGTTGGTAAGCCAAATTCTTAGAAATATGACTCTAGCAGTTATTTTCTTCTTTGGCATTTTGCCTCTCAGTATGTAGGGACTAAGAATGGTGCCAAGATCATCTCACTGATCTTATAGGGGGACTAGTATAGGGGAACTAGTAGCCTTATCTAACGTATATGTATTCTAGAAGAGTCATCAATGGTTTATAAAACAAAGTTAATGGAATACAGCAAACATTGTTTTTGTACTTACATTCAACAAAGTATTTTTCTCCATAGGCATCTCTGATCTCAGGAGTCAGTCTGTTCCAAAGTCTTAAGAGGTCTCTCTCAATGATATCTGAACTAATTACTCCTGTCTTAAAGAAACTGTGCTCTATAATGCTTACTTTCACTCCAAAATGCTGAATCTCTATCCTAGGGGAAAGAATAAATGACAGCAACAAAAAAGAGTGATCATCTAATATTGGCATAATTGTTAGACACAAGTAAGTAGAAAGTGTTGCATTAATGAATGTTTAAGACTTTCATTCTTCTCATATCACAATAATTCTATTCTGCCTATCATTATAAAATAGTAGAAGGCAAGTAAGTCTGAGAAACAAGGCAGTATCAGGTAGATTTACAGGTATTCTGTGTGGTTTGTTTTGGACTGGTGCAGAAGATGTGACAGCCAGCTTCATCTGAACCATGTATTATCAAACTGAAACTTTGACCATTTCAAAAGCTGCTGTGTCATTCCAGCTGACAATGTTTTAGTAGCAGAAGCAGATTATAAAGTGCCTGGAAAAAAGGTGTAAATGAGCAGAATTATTCGGTTGGATTAGAACCCTATATTCTATTATGTAGTTAAATGATTACAGTTGAATTGTTTAATGTTGCTGCAGTAAAGGTCAGTCTGTTTTTTGATAGTATGATTCCCTCTGTGTAATTTGAGCTCCTTCAGCATGTAAATGGCCCCTTTGTCCTGTAGGACAATTTCAGAGACTTAGGGTGTTCCCCTAAGCACCCTAAGAACACAAGGATTAAATAAATACTAGTGTTTAAGTCTGTATTATATAACCTTGGTGTATATAAGCATTCATAAAGGTTTGCAACCAACGTTCTTAGTGTGTGTGAGGACAATACTCATCTGAGTAGGCCTCAGCTGCAACAGGGCTGTGCAGCACAGCTGTGCAGGCTGCTCAGCAGACTTTTCTGAAGTTATGATGCTGCTTGGAATCACCCAGCTTAGACTGTTAGTGGCAATAGAGATGAAGTGGAATATTTTTGGTAGACAAGTCATAATTCTATTGTGAGCATAAAGAATTGTTTGAGCTTGAGCTGGTTTTGGAGAAGGTCTACACATATTGTTGGTGTTTTACTATATAGGAAAAAAAAAGATGTATAAGGTATATAGATTAATTATAATGCTTTATTAAATGGGAAGAAAGAGTGCTCCATTACTGAATTTTATGTGAAGATACAAAGCTTTCTGCTTACCTGCTTACCACAGCTCTGCAAAAATACATTTGCAAGAACAAATTTAAATCAGCAGCAGGGTCTTGGACCTATAGTTGCCATCACTGAGTTATGAAAGGATAAAAAGATAAAGGATGCAGAGTAGGACTAGCAAAAGAGGATGAACGTTGAAGACCCCAGAGTCTGAGAATCAGACTCCTGCTGCAAAGTCAAACATCTCCAACCCATCTCAACGTGCCAGGTGGGGCACCCCTGCTGCCCCTGTGCTATGACCGTGGGCTATAAGAGGCAGGAGAGGGGTCTTGCAGACCTCAGCAGGTTGAGAGAGCTCAGGAATCTGAGTGTTTACCATAACTATATAATGCTAGTTATTAGCACAATTCTATGCTGCTAAGTTTATTATGGTTATTTACTGCCAGTTACCATACTTAATTGTAGTCACATGCTGCCAAATTTAAACAAACCTGACCTAATTGTATGTACTATTGCCATGCTTTAGCTATTGCAATTAATGCAAGCTATTTAAGATCACTATGTGAATATTTCACATAGTTTCTTTTCTCCTCATTCTGTTGAGCAACCGAGCCATTATTTTGCTTTTTTATTTCCATATTTTTAAAAAGAAACTCAACTATGCATGTGCATGCACACTTTTGTAATCCTTATGCAATAATGCAACATGTCCAGGGTCCTCCTGCCTCATGTGCATGCATCTGGGAGTCTGATATTTACCAAGCACCAGGTAAATAGTAAGTACAACTTGCCCAGGAAGATCTAGATATCTGTCCAGGCTATATTGTTGATTTACGTGTGTGTATGCAGTGGGTTTAGGTGTCCTATGACTGCTTGCTAGCTATTTGTACAGGATATGCAAGCATTTTCCAGTGCAGTTCCCCAGTTTCCAGTTCTATGTTACTGGAGATAGAAATTCCAAACAGATGATCAACATCATTGCCTTTTTATTCCTTCTTTTAGGAAAGATTGCAAGGGGGAAAAAAAGGTAGACATACAGTCACTTTCCTTCAAAATACTTGGAATCATTTTTTTAATTCACCTACATATTTCTAACAACTCACCGTAGAATGTCAGAAAAAGCCTCCATTCCCCACTTGGACAGGCTATAACCACCTCCTGCAAGTGCCACCAGGCCTTTGGCGTTGACGAGATTGACTATTCTTCCCTCAGCTTTTTTCAGAAGCGGTAGAAGCTTCAGTGTGATTTCAATCAATCCTATTAGACCAACCTCCAGAACTGAGTGGAAATCTTCTATCCCTAGCCAGTCAGTGGGTGCCATGGGTGTTGTTCCTTCAGCATTGTTCACCAAGCCAAAAAGCCCTATGAAAATTCAAAAAATGTTTCCTTCAGTATATGGCAATACCCTACCTGCTGAGTTAGGATTTCATGTGTAGCATTAGGAAGCAAGCATATACTACACAAACATTTCAGTGAGATGAATACAGATAAATAGAATTTGCTTCTAAATATCTAGCTCTACGCTGTGTGCCTAGCAAAATTTTTGAAGAGCCTGTGAAATGACTCTAAATGAGAGTGGGTAAAGCACTAAACAATGATTTCAGGTGGAGAAATGGGCCATCCTGTTGGGCTCTACTGCCCAGATCTACTGAAGTATGTGGGCTCTTACAATGCGCATGTTCTCTGTGAAAATCAGGTAATACGCATAGAAGTGAAGAGACTGAATATTTTTCTGTGTTGCAGGCTAAAGTTTAAATTAGACATACAGAATTAGTCAGTACTTCTAAAAATATTAGCTTAACCTTGTGCAGTGATAATGCTACTTTACTACCTTATAAATTACTTCAGGAGGTTTAGATAAATCACTTCTAAGAGTTTGCTGAGAACAGCCTGTCCCTGGAGGGAGAGGCTGCAGGGTCAGTGCTCAGTCTCCTTGAAGATTTGCTCAGAATAAGGAGAGTATTAGCAGTGGTTAAATGGACTGAGAAGGTACCACTTCCAAAAGCTTGAAGCAGAGGCCTGCTTGAGGAAAAGCTTCTCAAGAGGTAAGCTCTAATAATTGCTTTATTCTTGCCCTCGTTCATTCTACTTTAAAAATACCTGGGACTCTGCATGAAGCAAAAGTGTTTTATAAGCTTGGAGGAAAAAGGCCTACTGGTACAAGATGCTGTCTTAAGAAATTAATTAATTAACCAGCTTATTGAATATTTGTTACAACTGTTTATTACATGAAGTAGCTGCAGTGCTGCATTACCCTTTGGCTACACTTAGCAATGTTTCATCTGAACTAATGGTGCTGAAAGAGAAAGGCACATGTCATGAATGAATGTATTTACGAAACTCCTGTTTACCTCGTACTATACTTCACACAAAAATCCCCTCTTAAATCATGTTTTTCACACCACTCATAGGTATCCAAGGACAAACTCTTCCACTTTGTTTTAGACAAGTGCCTGGAGGTATATGATGATTGAGAATTACCTCTATAACCAAAAAAAAAAATCTGAAAAATCTGAAATAAAAACTGTTTAATTGTTACAGTCAGTGCAACCATTGTGTGCATTGCAAAAATTGGACTCATTTAGTCCTGCAAAAACACCTTCTTTTGCTTTCTAGAGGAAGGATAAATGAGCCTGTGCCAGCTACTTTCTACTGGTTGGGCTGGCTTTATTGCCAAAGAAGTTCTTTGAGGTACTTCCCTCCCAGGAGAAGCTCTTAAATTGTTGTAGAAAAAAAAAAAAAAAAAGAAAGAAAAACATGCGGTAATGATCTGGTTTTAACAGTTTGAACAAGTAGATTTTTAGGCACTCTGTTGGTAGAAGTGCGGTCAAAAGCATTGCTGGAGACAGGTTTTGTGAACTCTGATGACTTATGACTCAGAACTGAGGAGTGAACCTGCGCCCTCGGTAAGAGGAGCCCTCCTCTGCAGGGAGCAGGGAGGCCCCAGAACTCTTAGCCGGGTTACCTTTGGTTATACTGAAGCATTTTTTTATGGGTACTGACCTTATCACTTACCCTTTCCAACAGTTTCTTCCGTCACAAATAGCACAGCCTTGGCAATGCTGCTGGAGTCAGCCAAGTTCAGGTTCACTGTCTTCAGTGAAGGTGAGCAGCAGGACCGGAGGTCTTGCCTTCCTCTTTCTGTGATGCACGCAGCAATGACAGGAAACCCTCTTTTGTCAAGCCATTTAGCCAGTGAGTTTCCAAGGCCGGTGTCACAGCTTGTTATGAAGATGTGCTTTCCACTCAGGTCTCTTACTCGATGCCTGTCTCTGATGAGACAGTAAGTGATAAGCGAAAGTACGGACACCAGAACTCCTATGTGCAGTGAGTCTGAAAGCGAGAGCTATGAGCAGATAGTTAGTGCCCTAGAAATACGAAGGACTAAACATGCTCAGCCAGTGCCTCAGCAGCCTCAGACACGGTTCTTGGCAGGACTTTCTTGCTCCTTGCAGCCCTTCCAGCTTGCTGTGGGGAAGAGGGCCGCTGCGGCAGCAGCTTTGGCACAGCGTCATTGGTACCCTTGAATAATAGATGCCTTGGCAAAAACTTCTCTTGACCTCCTTTTGAGTAGATTTCTGCTCTTTTCAAGCCTTGCCTGCCAATCTTCCTACTCGACCCCATCCTCTCTGGAGGTTTTGGGCTGAAAGAAGCTACTGTGTCGACTCTCCCTCTCCCCAGCCCCTTTTTTTTTTCTCTCAACACTGATCATTATTTGTTCTAATACTGGAAAAGAGGAATTCTTCTGGGAAGAAGGACAACTGTCTGATAATCTGTGGTGTGCTACCTTGGCTGCTCTTCTAATTTGCAGCGTGAAAACAGAGTGACCCAAGAATGTCTAGAAAAGCCTGTGTGGTAATGGTCGGTCTGCTGGCTACTTCATTGTGCGATTTGTCAAGCTATTTTTTAGATCACAGATTCTGCATCTCTTTCTGTCATTATTCCCTGTTCAGTGCTAATGTGCAGTGGAATAGAATACATAGTGAGAATGTGTTTGTATAAATAAATGGGGAAATGCTTGTGAATGTTGCCTTCAAAAGGAAGCAGTGAGGAAATGCAAAATTTCTAAACCCTCTTGGGGAGGATACAGCTTGCTGCTAGATGCTACTATTTGCCAAGGTAAACACAGAATACTATTCTTGCTAAGCTAAAATCTTCATTATTAACTACTGGTTTTCTATTTGGATTTTCTGGTTTGTGCAAGAACCAGAGCAAAATAATTAATTATACCATACATTCATGGGAAAGTTGATCAGCATTTTCCAGTCTAATACTTGAACGTCCTGCTAAAGAGGCTTTTCTTCATCAATGATGAGGAGTGACTGGTTCTAGTTGCCCATATATAAATCCAGGTGCAGACATTTAGACTTTAAAAGAGTGAACTGATACATTAAAACAAAGGAGTTTTTGAGTTCTTCCAGTATTTAAACATAGTCACAGAGTAAGAGATTTTTGTTTTATATTCTTCTATAAATCGGAGTTTTCTAGAGATAAAGCATTCATTCGGATGATTATTCTGTGACAGCCTTACTATCTGAATATTAAATGTATTACACCTAGCTGCTAGAGCCTTGTGTTTTTGTTCCTACTGCCTTGTTGGAGTGATTTGGATTTACCCTGATTTTTATATTTCATTGTCATTTAGGCAAGTAGAGGTGCCTTTATGAGCATAACCTTAGAATCTGATAGTGAACTAATGTTGGACTCTAATAAAATTAGTCAAAATTGATACACTCTATTCATACCCACCTAATGATCCTTATTTCACATATTTGGATGTCTTGTTGACCATGGTGTTTGATCTATGAGCAAGTGGTTAACTTTATCTGGTTTTAAAATCTTAATCAAATGCAAAATAGTTGAGATCTTGCTTCCCCTTCAACTGCAATTCACAGAAGGGTTCCCACTGATTTTTAGGGAAGGCATTAGAGTTGTCCCTGAGCTGCACTGAGTATCTGTAAACTCTTAGGTGACTGAGCTAATAAAGCAAAATCAAGAAGTTGAGCAAAGAAAGTTTCTGCATGTTGTGAAAGACAGTACTTAGCATTTTATTCAGACCCTGTAGGTGCTTGACTAAGCAGCAGTTGGTTAAAATCACTCTAGAAAAGAAGGCACTAGATGTAATCTTATCTGTGCACAAGAAACAGGTGCTTAGTTTGTTCTCTTAGCTATTCTACAAATACACATTGCTCTTACTCCTCACTAGCGCGTTAGACATGAGCTCTCTCTTGCTCTGGTACTCACGTTCAGGGGTGACATCTGCAAGCTCACTGTGTTTCCAGGTGCTCAGGAGTTGTCTTTTCCAGTTACTTCCAGTGTCAGAGTTGAGAAACTGCTTGAATCAAACTCATAAGCTTGTTCCCAAAGACGAGCACAGTGAGGGTTCGAGAAAAATCTAACTGTAAATTTTGTCTGGTCCTTTGTGGTCCCTGTGCATCAGCTGACAAGCGTGGCCGGCTTCCCTGCTGTTGGTTATGACTTCTCCTCTGAGACTTCTGTCTTCGTGACTTCCTTGGTATTAATCTTACATCTATGCTATGTGCCTGCCTATCCTGCCTATATTGTATAAGCATTGGTGGCCTATATATAGTAATCTACAAAGCCTGGGCACTGTCAAGGCTCATTATGGAGGACTAATCTACTCAGCTTGTAAGGAATGATCTGCTTCTTATGTTAAAATTGCCAAGAGTCTTTCCATTGTTTTAAAAGGAATTGGGTCAGTCCTTCCCAGCTGAGACCATGGCTGTCATTTTTCCCCCTTTATGTGAACAAGTTGTTATTGGCATGATTTGATCCTTTGGGGACAAAAAACGAGGAAAATATACCTTGTGTGTGACAAGTTTAGGGGCTTTTTTCTTTTTAATAGTCTTGGTGGCAGTTTTATGATATTTGAAACAAATCAGTTTCCAAACACTGTTTTTCAAATAAAAGCTTAAGTTCTAACAAAGATGTAAATCAAAGCCCTACAGTTTGCATAGGAGAAGACTCTAACATATGACTGATAAGCTGCTTCATTTGTTACTTGGCCCAGACTTTGTTGAATACTTCTGATCCAACTGAAAATTGTATATGTTGTTTTGTTCTGTTTTAATCTGTAAGCAGAACTCCTTTTCCTTATTCCTCTCTATTCTTAAAACTTAAATCCCTGCTTCCTCTGCCACTTGGTGCCGGAGCCCGGCTTGGATGCAGGCTGTCGTTACTCTTGCAGCACTTTCCAAATGGTCAGTAGATAAATGTAACTTGCTGGAAACTTGGGGTCAGTGTACCTACTTTTTAACGGGTGACTAGCATAGATTTCTCCTGTAGCACAAATCTAGCAGGTGTTCTTGTTAGGGCTGCCTAGTCCTGTCTGAACTGATTGGAATGACGGACTGACTCTCCAGGCTTGTCAAAGGCAGCACAGAACGGCCGCCTGCAGTCAGGCCAAGCCCTTCCCAGTGGAATGCTTCTCTAGGCCTAAGGCTGTATTGTGTTGTCAAGACAGGATTATTATTAACAGCCTGTTATTATTAACTACCTTTATGACATGTGGCAGTCCTTTGCCACACAAATATGGGAGGGAAAAAAAGGAATTTTTCATTTTTCTTTCTCAGCTGCTGACTTTATTCTCAGGATCCTGCTTTCGAATTGTAGAAAATTCTTCTGCTTCAGAAAGCAGATCCAGCTCATCATCTCAGAAAACACTGAAGCTCAGCATCCTTTCTCACAGAGGATTTCAGACTTGCTGGGAGCATGTTATTTGAGGGGAACATAACAGAAGAAAATTACCTAAGCAAAATGTGAGCTTTCTATTAGAGAGAGCTTGGCATGAGGCCATTTTACATATGCAGCACAGAATACAGCATTTGAATGTCTGATTTTCCATTGGTTCCATAGGTGTATTTCTTAATGAAATCCCTGACTCCTAGAAAGGATGTGGAAAAATGACCTGGCTTAAAACATAACATTGAGAATAGAAATGAGATTCTCAAGTGGAAAAACAAGAAACTGCTATCATGCCTGCTGCATAAATGGAGGTTTTGAAACATAATTTTATATATTGGTTCCAAGAGAACAGAAGTTGGATCTTATGGTTGTAGTTACAAGAGTCACAAGACTTTGAACAAGTCACTAGTCATCTCCTGCGTGAGACTTCTAGTCTCTAAAATAAAATATATTTACACATGACAGTATGTAATATACACATGTGTTTTACAGCCTTGTGAGCATGCAGGACACAGTCTTTTTGGAAGCCACGCAGAATCATAGAATCACAGAAGGGTTGAGGTTGGAAGGGACCTCTAGAGTCACTGGATTTTGTTCTTGTTTTCTTGGTTGAATTTTAAGTAAATAAAGACTCTGATTCCAGGAGAGAAAATTCAAGCAGAATCTGTTCCTTTATGCAACGAGACATATCTTAGGAATACATTGAGCAGTTGGTGTTTTTTCTCCTTTTGTAATTTAAATATTTTTACGATTTGTTTATATTTAAAGGAAGCAAGAATTTCACTGAAAGGTATGGACCGATGTCGTCTGAAAAGCTCATACAAATTTTTGACAGGGAAGTCGCTAGCTCACATGACAGCTCTGCAGTATCCTTTGACTTACAGTAGCCTTTGACTTAAATGTTAAATAGGATAACGTGGTTTTATCTCACTTTTCTTGACAGACATAACTTCAAAATAAAATCTCAAACAGCAGAGCTGTCAGTATTTCAGTAGGAGTAGCTAGTTCAGTGGTATCCGTCTCAAACCTGCTCAAGAAGGAATAACTTTTCAGACATCTGAGATGCTATGCATCAAAGGAACATGCTAAAGCCTAAGTGTAAACTGTGCTGAGAAAAATAGAATAACACTTTGCAAGCTCCAAGGAAGATAGATTGACAACCAGCAATATTTAGATTGCTGCTGGGTAGCTTGCTGTTTAGCCTGATCATGTCACTGCAAATTCACCAGCATGAAGAAAGCATTTGTGAAGAGAGCGTTTGTTTCATCACTGAGTAGTTTCCATGGCAGTAGGAAATGACTTTCTGAGCAATGTGCAGTTTCAGGCCTGACATGAGGGTCTCTGCTGTTCTTAAACATTTTATCATGATTAATTCTAATGGAGCTAGATCTTTAAAAGGCATTTGTGTTGAGAATTTAAGAAGAAATACAGCCTCCCTCCAGGAATTACTCATCACCTCACAAAAACAAGGCTATTATTTTTATGCCAAGAAATACCTTCCAGACACGAAGTGCTGAAAGTTCAGATTTAAAAAGAAACAAACAAACCAAAAATACTCTTAGCTCTTCAATGTAGTGAGTTTTGGGCTCTTCTCTTGACTAGAATCTGCAATCTAAGTTTGAAGCAACAAAACCTTTGAAATACAGAAGTAGCTGAACTGACAGGACTTTACCATGCTGACCAAGGAGCTGCCTCACCTAAGCCCTATAAAATCATGTGGGTGGAAAGGGTGTGTGAATCCCAGCTATCTCAAGGATGTAGGAACTTTGTTTTGCTCTCTGTCCAGTGAGGACTGCACCTAGTGAAGGCACCCACAGTTTCCTTGATTTCAGAATTAAACAGGAGTGACTCTGCTAAAGAAAGTAGCCTCAGGAAGAGGGTTTTTGCCCTCCTTGCTAGTTT